AGAGATTGAAGAGAGATTGAGAGAGAGAAAGAGTTTGAGAGAGAGAGTAAGAGAGATTGAGAAAGATTGAGAGAGAAAGAGATTGAAGAGAGATTGAAGAGAGATTGAGAGAGAGAAAGAGTTTGAGAGAAATTGAGATTGAAGAGAGAGAGATTGAAGACAGCAAAGTCTGAGAGAGAGAAATTGAGAGATTGAGAGTTTGAGAGAGAGATTGAAGTGAGAGATTGAGAGAGAAAGAGATTGAAGAGAGAGAGATTGAAGAGAGGTTGAGAGAGAGAGAAAGAGTTTGAGAGAGAGATTGAGAGAAATTGAAAGATTGAAAGTTTGAGAGAGAGAAAGAGAGAAAGAAATTGAGAGAGATTGAGAGTTTGAGAGAGTGAGAGAAATTGAGCAAGATTGAAGAGAGATTGAGAGAGAGCAGGAGAGTGAGAGAGTTTGAGAGATAGAGAAAGAGGGAGATTGAGAGATATAAATAGATAGATAGATACACACGTACATATATACATATCAAGAGGTCTTACAAGAAATTGCAATAGAAGCTGGCCACTTGAGTTGGACTGTCCCAAGTAGCAACCCGAACAACGTTATTTGTTTTCTGTATGTAATACAGGTACTCAACTTACGACCATAATTGAACCCAAAAACTTCCATCACAACCATCATAAATATGAATCGGTTGCCAAGCACCTGACCCCAGGAATGCTGCAACGGCCGTTAAGCCTCAAAATTGGTCATCGGTCACCTTTTTCAGGGCTGTCCTAACTTTGAACAGTCACTAAACAAATCATCCTAAGTCGAGGACAATCTGTAAAGTACAATGAAAGCTGCAGATGGGTGGGGAAGGGAGGAGAAAATTACAAGCAAGGGGAATTCCTTTCTAGACCTTCTCATCAACGTGAGCAGCCAAGTTATTATTATTTTTTTAAAAAAAGAAATATGTTATGGGCCTCTCACAATTTCTGGGTGTCTCTTGTTACAGCAAGGGGTCATTTCTCAAGCTTTTGTACCAGCCCAAAAAGCCAACTTGTACCTGATTTAAGAGTCTGTTCCATGCATTCATTTATTTATTTAATGTATTTCTATTCCACAGCAATCAAAAAGATTCTTGGTTCCGAATGTCCAGTTTGAAGGGTTTCAGCGACAGACAGGAATCCGCGATCGTGTGCGGTTTCTGCCTGGGCTCGCCACTGGAGCGCCCCGAGCCAGCTGGCTTCGGGGCTAAGCCACCCCGTAGAGGTGATGAAGAAGGGGGAGACTGCCAGCAGGGTCGAGGAGAGCCGCATCTCTCCTCCTCAGCTGGCCATTACTCCCTTTCCTGAAGGCGGTAGGAGCGGTGGTCAGAAATGGCCACCTCAAAGAAGAACTCAACCGGAAAAGAACGTGCAGGAGAAAGATAAGAAGTGAAAGTTTTGGCTGACCGGGCTAAGTTGAAAAAGCAATAACTAAGGTACCCTGGAATTTAAATTTTACAAGAAATAACATCGCTCCCAAAGAAGAGTCGGAAGCAGCGAAAGAAAGTGAAAAGGGAAAGGTTTGACTTTTTTTTCCTTCTCTCTCCTTCCTTATATTGACAATTAAGAATAAGAAATTGGAAAAATCCGCTTTGGCATCAATAGGCAATTAAGCTGAAAATATAACTAAATGCCAAAGGGACAATAAAGATTTCTGGACATTAAAAACTTTTTCTTCTATAAGCAGGAAGGGAGAGAAAAAGAATAAGGGCAGGATCTGGAAGAGGAAGGAGACTGCCTGGACTTTAAAAGAATCTAAAGTAAAATTTCAATAAGACTTCTAAAAGATACATTTTAACTGAAACTTTGCAACTAAATAGTAACCCCAGGAAGAGAAAGTGGGGAAAAAAAGAAAGAGCAAAAAGAAACAGCTTGTGTGTATTTGGATTACTTGGTGACTTTTGGATTTTTGGCTATTATATCTGAATGACTAAAATCAATCGGGTGGTTGTTTAAAAATTTCTACAATGGCATTACTTTTGGATGAATTGAAAACGGAACTTAAAAAGTACAAAGAAGATGCACAAGAAGGGAAGGGTTCCTTTGGCTTCGTTTTTCAATTTCTAGAAATGGAGATTCGGAACTATGAGAAACAACAAGAAAAGACTGCAAAACAAGAAGACTGGGACAAAGAAGAAGCCATCTTTAATGAACAAGTAACTCTATGTGGGGAAGAAAAAGGAAAGGGTGGAAAGAGGATGGAGAATTTAAGACGTAAAAAAAAACCAAAGAAAAGAAAAATAATTCGAAAAATAAGTATAATACTGGAAAGCAACAGAAAAGGGGAATACAGAAGAGGGAAATAGAGGGAGAGAGACAAAGGGGTAAAAAGGGGAGAGAGAAGAAGAGAGAGAAGAAGGAAAGGAAAAGAAGTTACAAAGGTCCGGAGCAAGATATAAAGAAACAGGACCTATTTAGAGATAATGGGTGAAAATCTAACTGAAAGGGGGATTCTGTAAAGGTACATGAGATTGTGTTGTTATATTTGAAATAGAAATAACTTTAGAAAATTGGAAACAACATATGATTAGAATGAGGGATAGAATGGTTAGTGTAACTTAGTGAAATGTTTGTGAAAAAAGTAAATGAAATAAAATAAATGAGAAAATTGAATTAGGAAGGAATGGGAACACTTTAATTAGTCAATGTTTTATAAAATATAAGTGAAGAGGGGGGGAATTGATTATGGAAAGTTTATAATTGTTCCCATAGAAGTATCATATTTAATTGAAAAGTAATGTGAAAAATGTTAAGACTGTAATGAATATTAATATTAATGATAGAATTGAATTGGAATGGAATGTTGTTTTAATTATATACATTTATAAAATTTTTTTTAAAGAATACTGTGTGTAGTTTAAGAATGTACCAAGCAGAATCCGAATGGAAGTTATGTATTATATTAAGTGTTATAACTTTAGGGGAAAGATATAAAGGCGTCATACTCCAACCAGTAACTACAGGAGAAATTTTGTTTAATGAGAAAAGATAATAGACAATTGAAACAGGACAGATAAAAAATATAAATATAATGATCTGAATTGAGATGAAATAAATACAATAAAACTGAGGAAATTAAAAGAGGGGAGAAGCCATGTAGAAAATGTAAAATTGTAATAAGATATGCAACAGAATATAAAAATGAGCATGAACCTGAATTTGTGTCTGTACGAAGAAATGTAACCCGGGATTATGCTGCTTTCAAAAAAGATGTTTTAATTGAATTTCTTTTCTTTTTGTAAAAACTCAAATAAAATTTATCCCCCCCCCCCCCCAAAAAAGATTCTTGGTTCCCTTGAACAGAATAAACAATCCACACAGTATAAAAGAGAACCGCAGCAATCCTGAATGAAGAGCAAAGACCAAGGAATGAATTGCGTGGATTGCTAAAAATAACTGCAATATGGTTTTCAGGGTTGGGCGGTGGCAGGGTCAAAAGTTAACAAGCTGCTTTATTTAATATATAACAAAATGCTGTTGGGTTCACCCACGTTATGAACTTCAAAACATTTTAAAAACACTTTTTGAAACGTTACACCACGTAATTAAAAATATGCCTTCCTGCCAGACTGATATGGATACTTTGAAATTTTCACTGCTATATTTATTAGAACAGAATAGAATTCTTTATTGGCCAAGTGTGATTGGACACACAAGGAATTTGTCTTGGTGCAAATGCTCTCAGTGTACGTAAAAGGAAAGATACATTCGTCAAGAGTCAAGAATCGTAAGGTACAACACTTACTGATAATCATAAGGTACAATAAGCAATCAAATCATACTTGGAAACAATCAATCAATATCGTTAGGATTCAAGCGACAAAGTTACAGTCATACAGTCACAAGTGGGTGATAAGGAGAGATGAGAAGATTAATGGTGATAGTAGTGCAGACTTTGTAAATAGTTGGACAGTTTATTATTTATTTATTTATTTGTCAAGCAAGTATTAGATAACAGGTATAAGTATAAACATGGTTATGAATAGATGAAATAGGTATGAATAAAAAAAGAAAAGAAACAATAGGACAGGGACGGTAGGCACGTTGGTGCGCTTATGCACGCCCCCTACAGACCTCTTAGGAAAGGGGTGAGGTCACTAGTAGACAGTCTAAGGTTAAAGTTTTTGGGGTTTGGGGAAGAAACCACAGAGTCAGGTAGAGTATTCCAGACATTGACCACTCTGTTGCTGAAGTCGCATTTCCTGCAATCAAGTTTGATGTTGAGCGAGTTATTAGTTTATTACGCCCAAAATAAGATTACATTTCCTTTCTTTTCCCCAAGAAAATCAGAAATAAATCCTTGTTAAAATCCCCCCTTTCCCCCCCCTGCTGATGCTTACAATGGTTGTTTTGAAAGAAATTTAAAAACAAAACAAAACTGGAGGCCCTAGACATCCAAAATCATTCTAAAACTCCCAACTGGAAATAAAAAAGGAAATCAGAAGGAATTCGCCTCTTGTCTGTACAGATCGTTCAGAAGAAATGTGACACAGGAAAAACGCCTGGGATTACAAATACGGAGGACATCTGCCGTTTTGGGAATTAAGGCGGGGGAGTAACAACAAAATTAAAACAAAGACACTGAAGGCAGCCAACCAAAGTGGCTTTTTTCTCAAGGAAAATGGAGAAGCACTGAAGTGAAATCACCGTATAAGGAAAGTTCTGTTGTTTTACAAAACTCTGATTATTCTTTATAAAGTTCTCATTTTTTGGCAAATTGCTTTGACCGTTTCAAAATTTCTGCCTCCATTTCAGCCATCTGGCCCTCTGGTATGCAGGAAAGAGGCCTAACTGAGCAAGCAACCAGCTCTTTTCTGCAGTTTTATCCTCCGGTGAGAATGAGTCAGAAGTAGCAAAGGGCACTAACAAGCACACAAGATTGCAAGCCAGTGAGTGACAGAAAGCATCTGTTAGAAGTGACTTTGAAGAAATAGAAATATATGCATACAGAATAGTAAAAAAGGATATCATTGTTGTTAACATAGCATGTAGCAACTAAAAAATGGCTACACTGATACTAGTTTTTTTTTAATTTGTTATATATTGGTTTCAAGGGAGTAAAACGGGAAGAATATATAAAATAAAAATCAGTGGCAAGATTGAATTGACAATGAAAGGGGATAAATATTGGATAATATATTTTAGGATGAAATTGGTTTTATTTTTCTCTGGAAATGATGAATGAAATAACATGGATAAAACATATGAAAAGAAAAATGGAATTAGGTAATAATGGTATGATATGAAACTGGATAAGAAAGCCTGAAAATGTAATTAGGATTATGTAGGCATGTTACAACCTGGAATCACATTGTTCACTTAAAGAGATGTTTAAAGAATAAAAATTTATTGAAAGAAAAAGAAGTGACCTTGAAGGATAGGCTGACACTTAGAGAGGGCTTGTATAGCACTGTGAAGTGGGATATAAATCTAAGTGTAATTGCTACTGCTATTTCTGCAACGTGCCAGAATTTTTGGCTTTGCTGCGCCTAACAAACACAATTTCCCCAATTCAACACAAGAAAAGCTGTCTCTTGAATATGCATGCACCATTTCTGCATATATAACTAATATAATTTTGCTATTATATATGTTGACAACAGCAAGACTACCGTATGCACAAAAATGGAAGGACACTTCAATTCCTACTATAGACGAAAGGTTGCAGAAGTTAATGGAGTTGGCTAAAATGGCAAAATTGACTACTTTGATTAAAGAAAAGAACATAAGCAATTATTATTGTTGTTATTGTTATTATTATAATAAATTTTCATTCATAAATATTTTTGAATAACAGTGCATTGGCAGAGCCTTATTTACAAATTAAACACGACTGACATACGTTGGTAATAAATCTCAACCTATAAACTAATAGCGATAGTAATGGTATTTTAACAGTACTAATAGTATAACCAAAAGTGTTGATCTAGGTTTCTTCTTACGTTAGGTTAATTACATTTTTTTAATCAATTACTACATTTATATTTATCTACCTCTTCCAATATATATATTATTAACCTTCATCTTATTTTACAGAGTCGGAAGTCAATATTTCTTTTTCTTTTTTTCTCTTATCGTTCCTCACTTCCCTTCCCCCTTTCCCTCCCCACTGCTTCTCTATTTACATTTGTCTTTTGTATTTCAAAATATTTATATAACTCAATAAAAATGCTAAATGGAAAAGTTTCTGCATCTGTGTGCAAGGATGCATATAAAATGTAATTTTAAAAAAATTCCAAACTCGATCACACCACCATGGCCTGTTGATTTTTGCAGATTCCCATGCTCCAAGGCCTAAAAAGAGCGAAACCATTTTATATTATCTTTCTCTTGACCCCCATTTTCTATTATTATCCCAAAGGTGATCTTTTACAAGAGGCAACTGGACTTTCTGTTTTTTCTTTAAAGACGTTTCACTTCCCATCCAAGAAGCTTCATGACCTGGCCGAAGTTTTCAGGAAGCCGCCGCAGCCAAAAATGGAGCCCGGGAGCCCGTTTTCACTGGCAGAGAGCCCTCAGGCCACCACAGGTGCCCCCAACACGAGTGACATTGAGCTGGCCACGCCCCCTGGCCACACACACCCCAAGGTCAAACACAACCCTGATGCGGCCCTCAATGAAATCGAGTTCAACACCCCTGCTCTAGATTGATTGTGAGGGCCCAGGAAAGGATCACACTCCTCTCCCCCCTTCAAAAGGTCCACTTACCCATGCATGAGAACACCATAAGCACCACCATGGCCACAAACCGCAGCGCCTCCGGCCTCAGGCAGGAGACGAGGCGCCTGAAGGAAGCGCTGGATGCCTTTTCCGATCCTGTGTCCCCCCAAGGGAGGAGGTGATGGCACAGCAGCATCACCGCCCCCGCCACCAGGTAGTTGAGGGCAAGGACGTCGCTCCTGCCCCAGTTGGAAGCCAGATGCAGGGCGTCCCCTTTGGGCTCATAGAGGTACTGCAGGCTGACGTAGCTGGGCATCTGGAAGGAGAGGACCAAGGCCCCTTCCAAAAGCAGCCTCCAAGGAAGCTTCTCCCCTCCAGACCGGACGAGGGTACCCCCTGCGAGAACCAGCGACACACAGCGCGTCCCGGCGACAACCCAGAGGAAAGCCAGAGGGTTCTCCCAGGGCGAGGGGGTCCATTTCCAAGCCAGGTGGAGGGCCAGGAAGTCCAGCAGCATCCCTAGGGCGACCGAGGACCACAAGCCCGGATTCATCGCGCCGGTTCTTAAGACGGGGCAAAAGAGCATCGCTGGAGCAGTGCTTTTGTGCGGGAAGAAATCCTGGCAAGAAAGGGAAAGAGAGGGACAAATGAGAGCCACTGAGAGTGGAGAGAAAAAAAGAAGAAAAAAGAACAGCACTAAACCAACTCTACCATGGAGCTCACCCCAACCCTAAGAGGTCCTTAAAGGGGGCGTGCATAAATGCACCAGCGTGCCTAGCGTCCCTGTCTTACTGTAACAGATGGCCTTTAGAAAATAGCTTGACCCCTTCCTCTCTGTGGCAGCCCCTGAAATATTGGAAGGCTGTTATTCTGTCTCCCCTGGTCCTTTTCTCTTTCCTAGACTAGCCAAGCCCAGTTCCTGTAACTGTTCTTCGTGTGTTTTAGCCTCCAGTCCCCTAATCATCCTGGTTGCTCTTCTCTGTACTTTTTCTAGAGTCTCAACATCTTTTTTATAATATGGCGAACAAAACTGGATGCAGTTCTGTCTCCATTTATCTGTATTTACTCCCTTTGTTCTTGTTTATGTTCATACTTATACTTGTCATCTTGTACATGTTTCACAAACAAAAAATTAAATTAAATTAAATTAAAATAAAAACACCACCTCCTCTGTTATCTTGTACATGTTGGACAAATAAATTAACATAAAATAAAAACACCACCTCCTCTGTTATCTTGTACACGTTGGACAAATAAATTAACATAAAATAAAAACACCACCTCCTCTGTTATCTTGTACACGTTGGACAAATAAATAACATAAAATAAAAACACCACCTCCTCTGTTATCTTGTACACGTTGGACAAATAAATTAACATAAAATAAAAACACCACCTCCTCTGTTATCTTGTACACGTCTGACAAATTAAATAAAAAATAAAAATAAAAGTCTGCAGCTCTGCTAAGTACGAACCCACTTACCGGCGTCGGAGGAGCTTCTCGCAGAGTCTGGGGCGCTTTCTCCCGTTTGCAGAGAAGAGGCGGCGCGGAACCGGTGGGAGAAAGCAGCCGGCCGCGATCTTCGCGCGGGAGGGATCCCGAGAAGGGGCTTTAGGAGAGCAGGAAGGTTCCTCCGCGTCCAGGAGCCGGCTTCAACTGAGCTGAGGGCGGGGAAATCGCGGGGGCTGGAAGGCAGGTCTTGGCGCATCTCCCGCCCGGCTCTGGAAAGCACCTTCGACCGCGGGCGCTTCGCAGAAACAGCCGCTTTCCCGGAAGCCGAAAGTGAAACTAACAACTGGGAGAAAGCAAAGAGCTGCTGCAGCTGGAGGAGAGAGGGAGGGAGATGCTGGACGCTTTCCAGCGAAGGCTGGTTCCAGGCAGGCGGTTGCTCGCTCAACCGGGGAGGCTTCGTCGCACCAAACAATAAATTGTGGCCAAAAAAAAAAAGTGCAAACGCTGCGGGAATGAGATCCAGGGAAAGGGGGGGGGGGGGGGGTGGGGGGGGGGGGGGGGGAGGGAGAAGAAGCGGCCGCTCAAGTGTTTCTCAAACTTGCAACCAGAGATCTCCAAACTTGGCAACTTTCAAGACTTGTGGACTTCAACTCCCAGAATTCCTCCCCCAGTCATGTTAGCTCGGGGATTCTGGGAGTTGAAGTCCACAAATCTTAAAGTTGCCAAGTTTGGAGAGCCTTGGATTAAACGCAACTTTCTTTCTCATCCCTGGCCTCTCTACCTGTCCGTACAGAGCTTGAGCCCAGTTGTGTCTCATTCCACGCATTCACACATACCCACAAACATCATATTGTGCCAGCTGCCGCCGCCCTCCCCTCCACTCTTGTTTACACATGCCAGCCACCGACCCGTTTCGCACGTTCCTTCTGCTCCTCCTTCAGCCCAACTTTCCAGGTCCCACTTTCCTCTGTATGAAATACTCTGTAGCAGCTCAGAGACACTCTTGGCAAATATGAGTAATACTATTTTACTCCTGGTAAAAAGAGGGATGTTTAGAATATGGAGGGTGACAGAAAAATAACATAACTGAAATGGTTGAAGAATCAAAGAAGGAAAGATGACAAGTCAACAAAATATGTGTATTAATATTAAAATTTTTATAAGATTGTCAACTGTTATTAAATATGAAGAATGTTGTCATATTTGTTTTAAAATGTAAGACACTCCGGTGCCACTGTTCACACAATGATATGTTTGTAAAAAAAAACAACCAAGAAAAAATAAAAAAATTATACCAAAAAAAAAAAAAAAGGAAAAAAAGATATTCTTGGCTTTCTACACCAACAGGAGCATTAGATGGGATGACTTAAAAATAGAATAGAATAACAGAGTTGGAAGGGACCTTGGAGGTCATCTAGTCCAACCCCCTTCTCCTCAGGCAGGAAACCTCCTACCATTTCAGCCACATGGTTATCCAATCTCTTCTTCAAAGCTTCCAGTCCTGGAGCACCCACAACTTCTGGAGGCAAGTTGTTCCACCTGGAATTAAGGAGAAATTGTGCGACAGATGGAACAATCTGTCACAAAAATGTCTCCTTAATTCCAGGTTGCTTCTCTCCTCCTTTAGTTTCCACCCGTTGCTTCTTGTCCTGCCCTCAGGTGCTTTGGAGAAGAAGAGCTAACCAGGAGAAGGAAAAGCCCTCATTTAAAAACAAAAGGTGAGGCCTCGAAAAACCAGGCCACCATTTTGACTCTTCTGACTGTATCTCGAGGACGTCCCTTCCCCCACCCCACCAGTTCCCAGTCAGACAATATCCTTATTTTGGATCCAAAAAATTGTCCAGAGAGCAATTGGTGGAGTGGTTAAGACACCTGCTTAGGAAGCCGGAGACGCTGAAGTGGAACTTTAGGCACGAAGCCAGCTGTGTGATTTGGGGCCGGTCACTCTCTCTCTAGCCCTAGGAAAGGGGCAATGGCAAACCGCTTTGGGAAAACTGCCAGGATTAGACCTGGTAAGAGTCAGGAATCAGTGCATTTCGAAGGCCAAAAAAAAGAGGTTTCCATTTTGACCCAGCTTCAAGAAGGAGGCCAAAAGCTAAATGAGCTGCTGCCAAGCAGTGCAAGAATTACATCATGGCCGGATTCATACAACAGGGCTGATCAAAATCATTAATTTAGGATGGGATATTAGAATAGGATATTAGGATAGGATATTAGGATAGGATAGGATAGGAAAGGATATTTATTTATTTATTTATTTATTTATTTATTTATTTATTTATTTTGTCAAGCATGTCTTAGACAACAAGTATAAGTATGAACATAACATATAAACATATAAGTATAAACATATATAAGTAGATATACATAATAAATGAGTATGAATAAATGGGGACAGTCAGACAGGGACAGTAGGCACGCTGGTGCGCTTATGCACGCCCCCTTACAGACCTCTTAGGAATGGAGTGAGGTCCACGCTAGACTGTTTGAGGTAAACTTAAAGTTTGCAAATAGAATTAGAATAGGAATAGAATAGATCTTGCTGCTATCAATATATGTGAACCTAAATATGCAGTTCCTTTATCACAACCTTCTGGAATTATGCCCAGCAAGTATACTTCTGGTTTCTGGCCTATATTCTGTTTTGTTATTTTTTTCCAGCCAGCTACCTATTTTCTCCCAATATTTATGATACTACTATGGTATTTCACATATGATACTACTATGATGCTACTATTATACTACTATGGTATTGTTACATTTCCAGCATTTTGCTGATAAGTTACTGAACATTTTTGCTCTGCTTCTTTCTTTCTTTTTCTTTCTTTCTTTCTTTCTTTCTTTCTTTCTTTCTTTCTTTCTTTCTTTCTTTCTTTCTTTCTTTCTTCCTTCCTTCCTTCCTTCCTTCCTTCCTTCCTTCCTTCCTTCCTTCCTTCTTTCTTTTCTTTTCTTTTCTTTTCTTTTCTTTCTTTCTTTCTTTTTTCATGATATAATGAAGTTTTTAATATATCCAAATATTGCGTGCATGTATTTATTAGATTTTTTTATCCCACCTTTCTTACTTTTTTTAAAAAATAGTCATTTAAAAATTAATAACACATTTCCACTTATTACAGCATGTTCTAAATATGTAGATTATTACTAAGTATTGTTACAGTTATTCCTACATTCAATTTAATATATTCATAGATTCGTTCACATATTTACATAATTATTTACATAGTTACATCTTGCCATAACTCTTCCCTTTCTTTCCTCTATCTACTTTCCGTTTACCTTCTAACCAGTTGTACCATAGGTCCCCAATTCCATAGTACTGTTTCCTATCCATCTCTGCACACTCTAAAACCTTTTTTATTATCATGGTGTCGGAAGGATTATTATCACATTTCCAGTTCTGCTTCTTTCTAAAGGCTTTCTTGGCAGAGAACCAGCCCTGATCCCCGGGTCAAATTCTAACCCACCCAGCCACCCACCCTGTGTCCCAGAAGCGGATTCTCGCGCTTAAGGAAGCCGCGTGGGGAAGCAACGCCAAGCCTCCTTCCCTTGGCAGTCTTCCAATATTTGAGGGACTGCCCCAGAGAGGAGGGGGGGGGGGTTCAAGCTATTCTCCAAATCACCTGAAGGCCAGACAAGAAATAATGGGTGGAAACTGATCAAGGAGAGAGATTCAACCTGGAAATAAGGAGAAACTTTCTGACAGTGAGAAGAATCAACCGATGGAACAGAAGTTGCCCTCGGAAGTTGTGGGAGCTTCATCACTTGAGACTTTCAAGAAGAGATTGGACTGCCAACTGTCAGAAATGGTGTAGGGCCTGATTGGGTGAGGGGGGTGGACTAGATGGCCTACAAGGTCCCTTCCAACTCTCTTAATCTGTATCTATCTAAGAAAGCTGGGTCCTCGCAAAATGTGTCTGAAGTGGGATAATTTGAGCCTTGAGAGTGAGAATGCTGGTTTCATTTGTTCAGTGACCCACCGGTTTGTTTTCTTGGCTGTCCATGATAATCCTCACGAGTCTTCTCCGATCAAAATTTAAAACTGTCGATCCTCTTCCCATTCTTCTTCTTTAAAGTCCAGCTTCACTTAGAACAGAATAACAGAGTCGGAAGGGACATTTGCCTGCCTGCTTTGCCCGATTTTAGGTGAAAATGGCTTTTTACATATATTAAAAACTGCAATATTTATACAAATATTTATAATATTTACAGACAAGCCATGCCCAGCCAGTCGCATGACCACCAAGCCACACCCACAAATTAGGCCACGCCCACCAAATCGGTTAGTGGTCCCTGGGATTTAAAATCATGAGTTTGGTGGTCCCTGAGGTCCAAAAGGTTGGCGACCCCTGTTCTAGTCCAACCCCCCTTCTCAGGCAGGAAACTCTACACCACTTCAGACAAATAGTTATCCAACCTCTTCTTAAAAAACTTCCAGTGTTGGAGCATTCACAACTTCATGAGGCAAGTTGTTCCAATGTCAGGAAATTTCCCCTTTAAGTTGCTTCTCTCCTTGATTAGTTTCCACCCATGGCTTCTTGTCCCATCTTCTGCTGCTGAAGAAGGAGAGATTCAACCTGGAAATAAGGAGAAATTATCCGACCGTGAGAACAATCAACGCATGGCACAGAAGTCGCCTTCGGAAGTTGTGGGAGCTTCATCACTGGAGGCTTTCAAGAAGAAGGTAACAGATCATCAGAGTCGGAAGCAGAGGTGGGTATTCAGCAGGTTCCGACCCCTTCTGGAGAACCGGTAGCGGAAATTTTGAGTAGTTCGGAGAACCGGCAAATCCCACCTCTGACTGGAGATTTTACAGTATCCTTCCCCCTGCCACGCCCACCAAGCCACGCCCACAGAACCGGGAGTAAAAAAAACCAAACTTGAATCCCACCACTGGTTGGAAGGGACCTTGGAGGTCATCTAGTCCAACCCCCTGCCCAAGCAAGGAGACCCTACGCCATTTCTGACAGAGGGGAGTCCAATCTCTTCTTGAAAGTCTCAGGTGATCCAATCTCAAGAGATTGGAACTGCCTGCCACCTGTCAGGAATGATGTAGGGTCTCCTGCTTGGGCGGGAGGTGGGGCTTTAACAGACTTAACAGATAACCAGAGGTGGAAGGGACCTTATAGGTCATCTAGTCCAACCCCCACCCACCCACCCCCGCCCAAGCGGAAGACCCATTTCTGACAAATGACAGTCTAATCTCTTCTTTAAAGTCTCAAGTGATGGCGCTCCCACAACTTCCGAGGGCAACTTCTGTTCCATGGGTTGATGGTTCCGGCTGTCAGAAAGTTTCTCCTCGTTTCCAGGTTGAATCTCTCCTTGTTCAGTTTCAGGGGTTGGACTAGATGACCCACAAAGGTCCCATCCAACTCTCGTTCATCTGAATCCGAACCCCCTTTCCTTCGATGAAACTGGCTGCGGGTGGGGAATAATAATAGGGGCTGCAGTCCAAGTCCCGCTCTGCTCTCCCACGGCCGCGGCGCTTCTCCCGGGGTTGATGGACAGGTCGGGGCGCCCTCTGATGTCCGCGGGAGGCGCTGCGCCCTCTCGGACTCTTTTTTTGCTATCACTTTCGATCTCCACTCCGAGTTTTCTCCACTCCGAGGCGCTTCGTGGGGAACGGGAGGCTATGGATCATCGCGGGGTCACGAAGATCAGCACCGGGGTGAGTTGAGGGGCTCTGCAGGGGAAGGGGGTGCAGCTCAAGGCTGTTTCTCTCCCCCCACCCCAGACACCAAACATTGACACGGGAGCGGAGGAGAAGGGAGGGTGGGGCGTGGGAGAGGAAGGGGGTTCGTGTCTCCCGCGAAACGAGGAGGGTTGCGCCGGGGAGACGTTTGAATTCGAGGGAATTGGGTTGGAAGCGCTTCGTTGCTGACTTGCAAGGCGGAATCTGGCCTGGAAGGAAGCAAATCTCGATTGCCCGCCGGTCACGCTTACGCCCTTTGTGTGTGCGTGTGCGTGTGCGCGTGTGCAATTGTTAGAGCAACACCTCAGTGGGCGTCTTAAAAGAAAGCTAAACGGGGATGGGAGACCACCAGGAAATCCCAATTGTTACCTTTGTGGGCATATTAAAATAAAGCTAAGCAGGGATGGGAGACCACCAGGAAATCCCAGG